TTTGATTAAGATTTTCTCTCTGGTCTGGTAAGGAGATAGACACTTTTAATATTGAGTTGGAGCATATGGTGATAGGTTGGAAAAAATATTGGAATCATATACATATAGAGATGCATGCATCGGATTTGCGTGCAACATGGCGTTTGTGCATGGAAGAAAATGCATAGCAGTCACTGTTCCCAAACGCAGACTAATTTCATTTTATTATTACAGCCATGCTAAAGTTAGTTTCTATGTCAAATGGAGGAACATTTGAAGTCTTTTTTAACACTTTTTAAAACTAATTTTAAATCTAACACTGTTTTTTCTTCAAAACTAACACTTTTGGCCGTGCCTATTGCCATGGTGCGGCGAAACGCCTGTGCCGCGCCATACATAGTGGCACGGTAGGAGGATGACGTGGCGACGACAGAGGCTGCTGACCAGTGACGTGGTAGGGTCTGCCGCGTCACCGATCTTGGCGCGGCACTGACGCGCCACGGCGCATGGCGCGGCAGTACCTGGACGCAGACACAATGCACGATCGATCTCTGCCGGCTGCTGTCGGTGAGGATCGGCAACCACGCGACCATGGACCCCCGCTTCCTCGACCCCTCGCCGGTGGGCTCCGACTAGGTGCTCTAGTCCGACATGAGGTCGCGCAGCACGGTTGACTACTGCGCGTCTAACCAGGGTGTCTTCTTCGGCGATTTCGTGGCGGCGATGACCAAGCTCGGGAGGATCGGGGTCAAGACGCCGGCCACCGGCGTCGAGATACGCCGGGACTGCCGGTTCCCGAACTAGTTGCTACTTAATCTCGCCGGCAGTGCTGCCGCGACGCATTAAAACGAATATGAAGCAAATAAATAAAGTCCGTGCGCAAGTTGACAAGCTGCCACATAACATTTTCATTGGTTTGACATAAGTTTGACATAACATAACCAACTAAACCTGCAAGTTTCGGACGCCAATATTCGTTCGACCTAACAAACTAAGACCCAAGAGTGTAAGGATCCCTCAGACGCCTCTATCTCTTCATATTTGTTGGCAACACATTAGGAGTGTAGCCAATATCGGTGTGGTCGCGTTGTCGGTGCGTACGGCTCGTACCCTGCAAGTATATGATATGCACGATTACTTATAATCTTTATGATCGTTAGTTCATGGAGCCTACGTATTTAAAGAAACTACCTTTGTTAGTACCTGTGAGGCTCCTTGGGTACCAAACGGGGCACCACCTAGCTGAGACATGCCGATCTCGTCCTGCGGCCAATCGTCCCACTGGTCGTGCTGTTTGCGGAAGCCTGGGGGGTCGTCGTCGTCGTCATCGTCGTCCTCGTCGTTCTCGGTTGTACGGTCCTTCCCGATGCTATGATGTGGTGGTGTACGCACTGCGGAATTGGCACCTATCACCGGCTGAGAAGAGTCGGCTAGTGTTCTCAAAGAGGCTGAAGACGTGCCACCCGATCGCGCCGGGAGTGGCGGTTCCACCCAAGGAGTGCCCATGCAGCTCAGCTTCTGAGCTAGCTTCCTGCAGCTCTTCTTCACCTTCTGCATAAATAGACGTTAAAGTTAGTGCATTTTCCAAATGCATATACACTAAAGAAACATTTTTAGAACGGACAAGTTTATGTTTACCTCCACAAAAGCCTCGAGAACGCCTGGCCCCTGTCCTCTAGATTCGTGAAGCCGGAACGCTGCTTCGTTGGACATCCTTGACAATAGTGTCGCCTGGGTACAGAAACGCGGTTAGACAGTTTTAGTATACATACTTAATACCAAATGGATAACAAATTATACCATTCAAGTATCTTATCACGTATCTTTGAAGCAGGGCTCTCTGTAGCTGTGTGTCCTCCCTAGTAGCAACGTTGTACACATCTTCGATCACATCTTCCTCCGAGTCCTCGTCAATCGTCTCCTCAGTGTATGGGGGCTTGATATGTGTCCTCGTAGACCTGTGAAGCCACCGTAGGTACTCATCGAAGGTGTGCTGGTCGTGTGGAGGACCCGCATGGACCAGCTGCCATTCCCTGTTTTGCCACAAGTGGATGTACGCGTTGTGTGTCATGCGCCAATCCTTGGTCTTGTACCTCTTCCTGCGGTCATACCTGCAACAAAACAATGTTAGTTGTACCACACAGACCTCTGAATTGTAGCTTTGTTATTAATCGATAACACACCCGTGTAATTCTTGGTTGGTGGAGTAAAGCGGTGGTGGGCAGCCTGTCATTCTTCCAAACTATCTACAGACCCTAATGGGCAAGTGAATATCGACCATGTGAAAGAAAATGAGAGGGACGCTGCAGCGATACTCGTCTGACTCATCCCTAGTGACAAGACTGAGATAGTACTGGAGCTCCGGAGCATCCCAAGGACACCAATGCACCTGAACATTTCGTAATTGAGTTAGGTTGTGATATAGTGTACATCAAACATGACACAGGTATGATAGTAAAGAGAGCGTAACCTGGTGCTGTGTCAGGACGTCGAGACCGTCCGTGTACTCCCTGTACTTGCGCCTCGCATTCCCTCTAACTAACTCTGCTTCCGTCCAGATATACAGAGCTGTAGGGAGTGTATCATGCCCGTTCCATTGCTGCATTGAACACGATAATGAATTAGCCATTAATAATTTTATCGTATGTAACTGCCTCGAAGAATATAGTGAACCGAAGTATTTACCGGTAAACCAGTATTAAGGGGCCTCCCAACGGGCCATCGTTCCCAACACCAAACCTGGAGTAGATAGGAGCAAACCCCAAGGTTCGCATACCGTGAGGTGCGACGGCAGGCAACGCATAGCTGTTGATACATCCATGCCAGGACTACGCTGCCCCAGCTATACGCCGCTATGTTCTCCCACGGCTGGTGTAGTATGTCAAGGAAGATCCAGCTGATGGTGTTACCCGAGGCGTCAGGGAAGAGCAAAGCACCAAGGAAGTGCCAGAGTCACACTCTAGCGAACCTGTCGATCTGAGCCTCCTCAGCCTGTGGGTCTAAGTAATCAAAGCGCTCTGTGATCTAGGACGACGAAACACCGAAACTTTTTCTAAAATTCACCAAAGAAAATGAGACCCGATGGCTGCAGGAAAGCAATGCAAGTATTAAATCGGCTTGAATTGCTCACTTATTTTTCTTTGAAACCTCGTCGTCCGGTGGAAGAAAGCTAGTGAACTGAGCCACCAGCTCTCTCCAGTGATCATTGCCAACTATACCCGTCACTGGAAGTCCTCTCAACCGAAGGCCAAAGATAGCCTTCACGTCCTGCATGGTCAAGGTCATCTCGCCACAAGGTAGGTGGAACGTGTGCGTCTCAAGCCTCCACCTATTATAAGAATAGAACGACGGTTAGTTGACTCAAATTTATTATAAGAATGTTTACGTACAAAGAAGGCACTCTCACCTGTCTATAGCTGCAGTAAGTAGTGCTGGGTTAAGGGGCGAAAGACCGTAGTTGACAACACGGACAAGCTCGAGGAAGCCGGCACGCCGTATATACAGCGCATAACGCTCGTCCCACTGGTACGCCCTAGTGTGCGTGCGGGGCCTCAAAGGAGGCAAGGCCACCTCTGCGTCGGTATCACTCAAGATGTGTGCTCAGTGCTGGTCGTCGTACTCCATCTCAAGAACGAGATACAACGGATGTTGCGTGAGAGGGACCATCCTATTACAAATTGATAAACAAATGGTTAGAGTATTCAAATTAACATTACATAGCATTACAAAATTTGAACTACTTGTTATACAATACGAACACAATATGAAAGCACATGTATATATTCAAAGTAACATTAACAGACATATTAAACAACTTCACTAGGAAAATAAGCATTTGACGAAACTTCATCAAGTCATCCAAATCGACGTATCACGCACTACTAAGTACCGACACTTGAAAACTAGTATCTATACCAAAAATCCCTAACTAAATAACTAACTATAAACTAAATAATAAATACTTAATCAATCCCTAAACCAAAAATCCTAACTAACAGTAACCTAAACCCTAACTACCTAACCAAACATTAACTATACTACAACACACAACCTTAAACCTAAAAACTACCTACCTAAATCACAAATAAATTCACTAACCTAACTATTCTAAATCACTAATCCTAACTATCATAAATCACTAAATATCCTAAATCAATAACAATCATAAAACCCTAACTATCCTAAATCACTGACCTAACTATCCTAAATCAATAACAATCATAATAACATGAAATCGAGAGGGAGGTACCTTAATATGAGCGGGCGACCGTGACGCGCCGGCGTTCGTGGCGCGGCCAGCGCGGGCGCTGCGCGGCGGCAGTGGGCGGGCGCGGGCGGGCGACCGTCCGGGCGCGTGCGGGCGCTGCGCGGCGTGCGGGCGGGCTGGCGTGCGGGCGGGCGGGCGGGCTCGCTCGCGATATTTATCTGGTCCTGCCGCGCCATGCGCCATGGCGCGTCAGTGCTGCGCCAAGATCAGTGGCGCGGCAGACCCTGCCACGTCACCGGTCAGCAGCCCCGGTCGTCGCCATGTCATCCTCCTGCCGCGCCACCATGCATGCCGCGGCACAGGCGTTTCACCGCGCCATGGCAATAGGCGCGGCCAAAAGTGTTAGTTAAAAAAAAACAATGTTAGATTTAAAATTAGTTTACAAAAAAGTGTTAAAAAAATCTGAATTGTAATGTGGAACTAAATGAGTAAATTTTTAATTCTTTTGCATGCTGACATCAGGACATGCTATTCTCAATAAAATGCGGTAAATCTGGTTTTGTAGCAGACTTGGCACCTTCACTCATCTGTGCAAGGTGACACGGGATTTAGACATCAGCGACATCCATTGAATCCACGCCCCAGTAATTGAAATGGAAGGATACAAGGTACAAAGCTTACTGGCACAGAAAGCACGAAGGGTTTCAGCCTTTGGTACATCATTGTTGTCTTGCACCGAAAGTACACCAGTTTGATTGCCACTATCGTCCCAAATGAACTGAATATATATACCATCATTCATCAATGGGAGACAATGCCTATGCAGAGGCAAACCATTCTAAAGCTACAACTGGTGGTACTTACCTTGGCCAAGAAATTTATGGTTGGTGAGAAGTACAATTGCATCAGGATATACCGTGTCACAAACACATACTCCGTTCGGCTTACCCTATATCCAGCTTGTTCGACTTGTTTTTTCAACCGAAATAGTATTTTTCTCTCACAACAATTCAGTCAGAACAGTGTTTTTCAGCCAAGTTTCGACAAGCCGGACAGGGCCTAGTGAGTTTAATCACAGGGGATAAAATAATAATGGGATTGCTCTGAACTTTCTTGATGCGTAACAGCTCTGAAGTATTATGTTCAAGGAATCAAGGTATTTGTAGCCTGCAAAGACTATTGTTTTAAAAAATTAAATTCACGTTACATTCGAGGATTGTATAGGTGCAGTTTGTCTGCTTTTTTCAACATGTAGGACTTCCTGTTGACTGCAGACATAGCCACTTCATTCTTCTCTCTGCACAGACCTAAGCATGGTTATTTGACCACTAACCAAAACTGTTACAGAGGCAAATCATCGAGCACATGGTGTGCGTACTGCGTAGTGAGTAACCACCATGGTCTCCACTGTAGGTGTCAGGCACAAATGCGATTGGCACAACGCCAGCGAGGCAGCGAGCAAGCCGGGGCTTGCGGCGGTACGAGATTGTCACAGGAGGCGGCGACACTGACTTCCGCGTCGCCAAGCGGCGCTGGCCGCAGTCCCCTGCGGCTCTAGAGCTGGCACTTGTCGCGCTCAACAGCAGGTCATTCGTCGTGATCGTTCTCGAGAAGAAGTGCAGTGGGCATCTCGGGGCGTGACAATCTGAGAGGGGGAGGGGCCGAGGGGGAGGAAGCAACAGCGACTGTGACTATCGCGGAGGTGGTGAGGGGGACGGAGCGGCGGCGGCGTGTGGCCTCGAGCGGCGTTAATGGCCGCGCCCGCCTCGCTGTAGGGCAAGGGCCGCACCCATGATGTGGTGGTTCTCCGGGGGCCGCCATGCCCACGCCAGCCGGGTTCGCGGACGGAGCACGGCGGACCGACGGGAAGCACGGAAGGGAGGGGCGACGGCGGCGCAATTGCAGGTCCTGGACGAGCCCGATGGGGAATTCGAGAAGGAGCGAGACGAGGCGATGGGTCGTTAACGGCCTAACGGGCACGCCACACGCTACCGGGTGGATGACGAGCAGTTTGGGACCGACCTATAGACGATCGGACGTTCCATATTGAGTCTTGTCCAGATCTGACGAGGTTTGCGGACGACGTGGCCTTATCCGTTAGCATGTTTTTAGGGTATGAATCGTATCTAGGGAGAGATTTTCATGCCTCAGAAAGCGCTCTGCTCGCTTAGGCTTATAAATCGTATTTTTTCAGCTAACGAATAATATTTTTCTCTCACAATAAATCAGTCAACAATACTTTCAAACATGACTTATTAGCCAAGCAAACAGAACAAAGGCTTGTGCAGGTTTGCAGCTAGCTACCCAGCCGTTTCTTTGATCCACATACTACAGATTCTTTTTACTTTTCAAACACAACTTTGTATACAAGTTGCAAGTAAAACCATTGGCCAGTGCCCTTTGATGCTTTAAGAGAGCTTTAGCATGTTCGTTTGCTCGTATCTAGCTTATAAGTCATGACTTATTAGCGAACGAACGGTATTTTTCTCTCACATCAAACCAACCAACATTACTTTCAACCCTGGTTTATAAGCCAAACCAGCCCAAAGGCGCTTATTTCTTTTAGCCGATCTGAAAAAACCGAGTTCAACCAGAGTCCCGGTTGGAGGAGCGCCCCTTGCCGGGTAATCCTATGTACAGCTCCGTCTCCACGTCCATGTCGTCATTGCTCGGTGGCGCCGGCAGGTTAAGCGGCCAAGGAGGGAGACAGCGGTTCAGGACTGGTGGCGCCTCCGGTGGAGGCTGGAGGTTGCGCTGCTGCAGCGATAAGAACAGCAGGTTAACTTTTACAAAAAGCAAGCAACACATGACTTGTTTCGGTTATGTACACACATGATGGCTCTGAGATTGTCTTTCTTGCCCATATTATGTTAAGAATTTAATTTGCAGTTTGCGATGTTAAAGAAAAAACTCAACTCCTGAAAGTGGACTACCCAGCCATCATGTATGTACATAACCAAAGTCACATGCGTTCTCTGCAGTTGTTCCTATCATTAAGAGTTTATTTCAGGAGTTGCGCATATCATTACGAGGGCATTTTCCAACACCAGAGTTGAGAAAAGGCCCCGAACTCTGCTGCGCAGCGGAAGCTCAACCAACACACTGTACATGCGTTCTCTGCAGCTTGCAATGCTGTTTCGGTACCAGACTACCAGGTGGTTCATTTCATTTACCTTATCGAGCAATTCTTTGTTGTCTTTGAGCAGGGTCCGCTCCTGGAAGTGGTAGAAGTAAGAAACAGCAGAGGTCAGGGAATGGGTCACTGTAGAGTTTCAGGATACTCTGGGCCTATGCGCTATGTTACCTTCTCCTTCAGCTTGGCTATCTGCTGCTCCAGCAGTTGTGTCTGTCAAAACAAAAGTAGGATGCATATCAACTTGGGCGAACAACAGTATCTTTGTTATCGTCTAATGCAGTAATTTCAGAGACTAGGGTTTATGTGGCTGGTCTAGCATTAACTAACCCTCTTTCCTCTGATGACGTGAAGACTCTTCGCCAGTTTAACCTCCAAAATGTGTAGTTCTTCAATGGAGCATTCTTCTAAATTTTCACCCAAGAACTTTCTGCAACTCATGTAAAGACAATGAATGGCTGGCCTTTTTGCTCCGAGGAATGTCATTAATCTTTAGTAAAATACATGATTGCTTACCGTTTGGTCTTTTCAAGGGCTTCGAGTCTATTTGCCAAGCTTACGGCATCTGCTTTGACTTGCTGCACTTTCAGATGATTGAATGGTAAAAGATAAGTGCGCCATCAGATACATTCTGTCATGAGAGTAAGCCCCCAAATATTTACTGCAAGTTCCATTTTATATTGTGAACACTGGCCTAACCGCAAGAAGATTATTCTACCCATGTTTTGAAGTGATGCTGTATGACATTACTTTAATGCCTTGGAGGTAAAAGTATTCAGGTCAAAATATTGACCTTATTCCTTACTTTTCAATTAAGCGTGTCAGCACCTTCGTTGCGGTTTATATATATAAAAACTGTCATGTAAATTCACTTTCAGGTTTGCTGTATTTAAGTGAAGATGCAATAGTCAAAAGATGAGTTTAGTAGATACATCAGCCACATGAAAAGTAATAGAATCTGAAACAATGAGCAAATTAAGTATCTTCCGAATAAAAAACATCTCATTGATATAAAAAGAAGAAAAATAGCTGTCAATCACTTCAGATATTCATATAATGATATAAGTAGTAGTACTAACTCTATCTGTCATGATCAAAACCAGGTAGGTCATACATACTATACAGTGAGAACTTCACCCGTATATCTTGTTGAACAGTCTTGTTATTGACATTTTCCCTTGTGTACGTCCTATAGCGGTCAATTGTTTTCTGGAGGCTGCAGAATGAAGCAAACAGTAAGAAAATAATAATATTTCTTAAAAAAAGTTGGGCATAACATTAGTTGATCGCTGACATTATTCACATTATTCATCGACTTAGAATCTTATCATTGATAAAAAGTTAACCTTTCTGGCCAGAATTAGAAAAAAAAGTACTTAATTGACATATTAGATACAAGGAACTTAGAAAGAACAAAAACCAAAATACGTGAGAATATGAGCCTTGGCTCAACTCTACTAAAACTATGTACTTACATGCGAAAATGATGCAAATATTATTGTATCTGCGCATACTGGAGCTAAGCTGACAAGGAGAAATAGTGTGCTAGCAATTTGGTTGAAGTTTAAGAAGAAATTATGCATGCTTTGAATAGGTTCTCAAAATTCACAACAAATTTATTTTTTGAAGCTTGTAGTAAACTGAAATTAAAATAATATTAGGCTATTTCGGATGAAAAAAACAAGAATACAATTAATGCTGTACACAAAAGAATGACCATTTCTTTTGTTGCACATCTACCCAAAGTCCAAACGCAGCTGATATGCAGTACTGCAGTCTGGAGATGATAATACCATTGTGCTAAAAAGCTGTAGCTGATGCATGATCGAGATATGGCTGAGTTTCCCAGTTGGAGTTAGAGTAGGATCAGTAATAAGGAGTTCTTGTTGTTAGAAAGACTATTGACTGGAAAATATTTCTAATGATTCCAAATTAGTAATGCCACAGGTGATTAGAAACATACAATAGTGAAGGGTATGATGGCTCATAAAGCTGATCAAATCATCCTTATATTCAAGAATAAGCTAAAATAACCTTAGTGATTTTTAGGGGGAGTAAAACTTCCTTAACCAATTTTCCAGGGGCTAGATCTGAGATGAAGAGTATCAAAAGGTTGCTATTCTAATCAAGGGATACCACAATACTGTTAGGATAGCAACCTTTACAGGGGCTTCATGTATAGTCCACATGCATCCTCCTAAACCAATACTGTTAGGATACCAAAGTTCGGCTAGGCGGCGACTACTCAGCGACTACGCGCGCCTAGTCGCTGGGCGAAGCCCGTCGCCGCGACTAGGGGCATAGTCGCGCATCGCGGCGCTAGGCGGCGCGGAGGAGCGCTAGGCAGGCGCGGACGCGGCGCGTAGGCGCGCGAGATGAGCAGGAGAGCGGGAGGGAGAGAGCGGGCGCACGGGAGATTCCACACCCGTCGGGAGAGCGGGAGGGGAACAAGAAGCCGCAGCTCGCCCGTGCCGACGGGAGAAGTTGCCGACCGACCGCCATCGAGCCGTGCGGCCGCCTGTGCGGGCCGCGGCAAGGAGCGGCCGCCTGCGGGCCACGGCCGTCTTTCCCCAATCAGCGCTGGCCTGCAGCATCCCGCCTCCTCTGTTCCTCTTCCACCATCGAGAGAGAGATAGAGAGAGAGAGAGAGGTGGGCGGAGGCAGAGGTAACGGGAGGGAAGAGACAGAGAGATGGGCGGAGGCGGAAGTCAAAGAGAGTTGCGGCGGCGGCGCAGTGCAGGAGAGAGATGAAGACACGCTAGGGCTACGAGGGTGAGGGGCACATGGGCTGCTTGGTGCACGTGGGCTGGGCCAAACCACTTCTTACTCCTCCTTTCTTTTTATTTTTCTTTTTCTTTTTTCCTTTCCTTTTTCTTTATTATTATTTATATACTGCTCTGAGTTTGCTCAAAAAAAAATCCATATACTGCTCTGAGTTGCTGTTAAAATGTGTTGCAGGAGCTAGGAACATGCAAGAGTAAGCCAGCTAGGAATCAGATATGTCTACTAGCCCTCTTTTTATACTTATTGTGACTCATATATAGTAGTTATATACATATATATAGTTATATACATAATATATATATAATTTATGGCTATATTGCCAAAACGCCTAGGAAAACGCCTAGGAGCGCCTAGGACCGAGTACTCCCGACTAGGCGCTAGGCAATGGGTCAGCGCCTAGATTCCGCCTAGCGCCTAGCTGAACTTTGTAGGATACCACAATCCTATCATCTATAGTCTCATGTTCTCATCACTTCAGTGGAAATATTGCAATCACAGTCTAACATTGGATGTTAATTAGGAAGAAATGTGTAAATGCAACAGTGATCCAACCAAAAGAGAATTCACAAAAAAAAATGCAAAAACATTATGATCTGTAGTTTTTGGTGTTATTGACCTGCATCTTTAAAAGAAGGTTGGTGATGTAAGTTTTTCCGTAGGGAATCAACCAACATTGGCCTTAATTCGTGGTGATGATGCTATTTCAGAATCGGAAAAATCATCTTGTATAAATGTAATTTTTTTTGCTTAGTATAAATGTAATTGTGCTTATAAAGCCCATAAGCCACTCCATTGACTAAGCACCTATCTCCATATTTGTATGACCCACACAAGAGAAATCATTAAATAAAATCTATAGAGATTTCTATAATGTGGCAGTACAATTCAATCAATAGTGAGAACAGACAATAAAGAAAATTCAAAGAGGCTGTTTACAGTTTATAGCTAATGAAGAGAATAATCCCTGTGGGATGGATGAGGACAACATTTAGGGTGAATCTATTGCACAAGGAAGAGGTTGACATTTTCAAGTTTAAGTAGGTAGTATACTTATATTCAGTATTCTTTTCCAAGGAGTCACAAAATAAAATGAGGGCAATGGACCATGTTGGTGCTAACTAACCTTCATCTTTGTCCATATATGCTAAGGTCAAAAATAAAACAATTATCTTTATTTCCCCTTAAATAGTGAAGTTTATTTTAAGTGAACAAATGCGGTACTCCATTTGATCCGAGATATAACTAAGTCCATCTACCCTTCTCCCAAGTGCACCAATTATAGGTCCATGATAACTCTAATACACATATTTTCTTCATTCTTGCAAGTCTACCCCTAGTTTACTGCACACTAGTAAATACCCCAGATGATGTTTTCAGTCTAAATTGGATACGAAAACTCATAGGATAATTTTTGTCATGGTTAGTCGGAGTTTCAAACACGGAGTGCCGAAAGCTTTAAATTGATTGGATAGGCTAAACATATTCAACTTGTAGGTGCAATACATTAGACGATAAAGGTGTGATCCGGAAGAGTGACTGCTAAAACATGAAAATAAGAACATCTTGTATTATCTGTTTCCTCAAATGTGCCAATCTACCCATCTACTCTGTGATCAAGAGGAGGAATAACGTGCACCTGCAGCAAGGAATTCGGGACTCCACCTGGTGATGGACCCCGGATGGTGTATACTCCACTGTTCAGCCTACAGGATCCAATTTAAAGCCTCCTTCGGATTTTTCCGTAGTGACCAAATTTGGAAAGCACAGGTGGAGAACAAGTGCAAGATTTTCACTTGGATTCTGCTGCATGACAAAATTCTCACGGCACAACCTACAAAAGAGAGGATGGACACACCAAGAACACTGCGTGCTTTGCAATGGCCCATTAGAAACTGGCCTTCACCTCTGCTTGTGCTGTCCCTTTGCAAAGGCGGTTTGGGATCAAATCTATTCTCTTGGGAGAACTTCACTGAGCTGTAGTCCCAACAATAGGCTGACCCCATCCACATCAGAGCATGGTGGGAGGAGGCTGAGAAGAAAGTTCCTAATACCGAGCGTAGAAGGCTCAACGGGGTAGTGATCTACACATTTTCGAATATTTGGAAAGAGAGAAATAGGAGATTTTTCAACAATGAAGCAGAAACAGCGCTACAGGTGGCTGCAAGAATCAAAGAAGACAGAGAGCAAAGAAAGAGAGCTTTCGCTTATGTTTAGCCGCTGCCTCCCCTAGATTGTTGGCTGTTTTTGTGTGGCTGTATTCCCCCTCCCTATTCGTTTTGGGCTGTCTCTCTTTGTTGCTTGTATACAAACTCTCTTTCCCTCTTACTTAATTGAAAGGCAGAGCTCCTGCCATTGTGTTCCAAAAAAAAATCAAGAGGAGGAATCGATAAACCACTTGCTTTGTGCTTGCCCCTTCTCATGGGAATTTTGGTTTATTTTGCTGCGAAGACTCGGCTTGCAGGCTCTAACCGCATGGACTAACTCAGTACCTTATCCCATTTGTTTTTCTCGAACTCAGATCAGACATATATGCTATTGGATATTCACTATTGCATCTCATATTTGTTTAACAAACCTTTGGGCAGTTGGACAATTGGCAATTATCAATCCAATTTTCATCCCCATTTGACGGCGGTCCTTGAGTTTGCTATTGTGTGTTTCACAAAGCTTTCAATTTGTTATTTATCTCAAAATATCACAACTACTTCAATTTATTGCAAGTATTTTTGAAATATTGTTTACTCGTAGTTGATTTACATTTAGTTTTAAAATCCTCAATTTGAATGAGCTTCCTTACAAAATAAGTGTAAGCTCACCTAGAGATTGCAAATCTGGACCCCAGTTTGTGTGGGAGCTTTACCACTGTGTTCACCCCTTTTCTTTATATTCCAATCATATTTTGGTTTCCCCTTTTTGCTTATTTTACTTACCAAGTTTTACTTTCAACCAACCTTCCTTTCTGCCGATTCTGATCTGAACTATTGTATTAGAAACCTGAGTAGTTTGAATGAGAAAAATGACCTCATATTTCTGGTTGTACATTATGACCTGAAGGGAAACTATGCTCCACTTCGCATTGTCTCTAGCTGCTACTATCAGATAACAAACCTCCAAAATTCCTTTCCCTGTAGCCATGTGCTGAGAGAACAAAAAGAGAGGAATAACAGTTGTAGCTAGATAAAGACGGGGCATTGAGTTAGAACACTAGAATGGGGTCAAAATTTTTTGGAATAAGTAATTCGATAGGCAATAGCAAAACAATTAATGATTCGGAATTTTAGTGATACTGAAATGAACAAAATAAAATTCAGCGGCAGTTCGCAAAGAGCCCATGTTTATTTGATGATTGTAGCCAATATTTTCCCAAAGTACAGGGCCAACCTTGCGTACATTAATAATGTATGGACATACAGGCAGTAGTAAGACCTGAGA